CCGGTTTCTAACCTTTAACCCTTTGGGTAAAGCCTAGATATACTGAGTCTTGAGTTGGTTTCAACAAACTATAAAACTCTACCTTGAAACATACTGCAAGCGAAGAAAAAATCCCCCTTTCTGAGGAAGATCTACCCYTTTTCWGGTACRTGCATTCCAATCAATCTTAGACAGTGTTCAAATTTTTGTTGATTGACTGGTTTTGTGAGCATGTCTGCGGCATTTTCTRATGTATGAACTTTCTCCACCTTGATTTGCTGTTTTTCGATTTGTTCTCGGATGAAATGGTATTTCACATCTATATGTTTTGTTCTATTGTGGAATTGTTGATTCTTAGACAAATGGACTCTGTGCTGGACCCCATAGGTCTGAGTGAACGTAATCAAGGATTCCCTTTGTTACATTGTCAGACTTGTTGAAGCTTTGTCGGGTTGTCTTGCCTAGAACACAAAATTCACAAAAGTTTAAATTTTCACAAGCTTCTTTAGGTAATATTCCTTGTTTAGTTAGTTCACTCAGACCCTTGCTGCTTATATGTGACAATCTTTTGTGCCATAAATCTCCACTGGTTAGTTCCCCATTTGTAGAGACTAAASYTGTGYTAAATTTTTCAACATCTTTAACAACAAAAAGACCATTGATCTTTTCTCCAACAAGCACCAYYCTGGAATCTTTTGATACCTCTARAGTACCATCTTGCCCACTGTATTTACAGCCGTTTGAATCTAACATTCCCAACGAGATTAAATTTCTCTTTAAGCCGGGTACATGCCTTACATTTTGTAAGATTTTCGTGGAACCATCTTTCAATMTCAAAGAAACYGTGCCTATTCCCACAACCTTGCATACATTGTTATTTCCCATGTAAACAAGACCTYCATCYCATTCCTTGKAGGAGCGAAACCACGCTTTTGATGGAGTCATGTGATATGAGCACCCARAGTCTAATACCCAGTCATGTTTTTCTTGAGAGGTTTCCCCTTGTCCACACTGATTAGTGGCTGCAAGTACATCTGAGTATGTGATAGAGTTTTCACCCACTGAGGCTTCCGCTGAATTCCCTTTCTTTTGCTTTGTGTTTTGTTTCTTCTTGAAGAAATAACAGTCCTT